AAGCGGAAACAGCCAATAGGTGCGTTTCGGAATATTTCACGCACGTAAATTTGTCGATTTCAGTTTCCAAGGACTGATTCTGGAGTTGGCGAAGAATGGAGATGGACATGAACTCCGTGGTCTCGCAGGTAAAAGCCCTGGAAACTGCGGGGCATGTATTACCAAATCGTGCCTTAAACCCGGAAAGCCGACTAATTAAATGGAGATTAGCCTGCGGGCGAAGCCATCACGACCGCCAGAACACGGGTTATGGATAATCACTCCAGCGCCTCATCGGGCAATTAGTGAGCTCAGGCCACCCTGGGAAATGAGCCGAGCATGCCTCGCTGGACCTCGACCAGGCCTTCAGAAAAGAGGCAGCCGTACAAGCGGTTTAAAGCTGACTGGAGAAAGCGACCGTCTGAGAATGCCCTCCTAGAAAGCCGGCTCTGTTTACACGCAGGAGGGATCTCTGTTCCTTTTGGATGGGATTCCCTGCGTCCCACTGCTGAACAGAGCAATATAAATTCTCCTCACAAGAAGTAAAAGTGTCTTTCTCCTACAGGAGCCCCATCTGTGTTTTTGCGTCTACGGCATGCTTGGCGCTCAGGAACGGACTCGGACGTTGGCTTTCCAAATCAAACAGCGGGCAAAGTCAAACACAATCAGGCTGAAAGCTTCGCCGAAACGTGTAGGAGACAAAGGAGCCGGCCAGGCCTTGGGACGCCCCGCTATCTAGGCGTAAACACGCATGGCCCTGTGCGACAAAGTACACAAAGCGGGGAGAGGGATGCAGAATCCCAGCCAGTGAGTCAGGATCACATGGAGAATGGAGAATGAGCACCGCTCCACATTTCCACTACCTCAGGGCACATCTGAAGCTACTGTTTCAGAACCAGGACGTGCTCCTGATGGGCTCCAGACCTTAGGCTTGGCATACTTGCACTGAGCTGGGAGTTGGGCCGGGTCTGATGACTCCTGACTCTTGCTGCGGGTTTCACGTCCTACCTCAGCCTGGGCCATCCCGTGTGATGGAAGACTAACTACTGAGCCATCCTGACACTGGAGGGCAGTGACGACCATGCAGTGGTCCACCAGGGACACAGAGAGGCTCATGCCACCGGGTCCAAATGAACCTAGTTCTCAGGCTCTCCTACAGTCATCAGTGGATAGCTGTCCAGCTGACTGCCATTAGTGTCCGTGAGCCATGATCCCCAAGACAAAAAGAGGGGGAGACGAGAGACGGCGCAGCAGAAAGTGCTAATCCCTCCTGTGGGTGTGGATCAAGAAAAATGGTTCAGAAAGCCAACCTGGGTCAGGCTGGGGTTCATTGGGCCAGAGCCGACAGAATCAAGCCATCGCAGGCATGTCCACACCAAAGAAGGTGCCTGATCCCAGGTGTGAAAGTCCTCCAGTCGTCCCTATCTACCTCAGCTCTACAGTGAAACTGGCATATTCATCACACAGAAAACCTTGATGTGGCTCCAAGGTCTCAAGAAATGCTTAATCCTTTCAACCCTGTCCATTTTTCTATCCCTCTATTGAAATTTCTCCATTTTTAGCCTCATCTAAGGGCTGCACAGTGGTGCAGTGGTTAGCACTGCTGCCTCAGCAAGAAGGCCCTGGGTTAGGTCTTGGGTTTGGTCCTGGGTCCTTCCTGTGTGGAGTTGACACGCTCTCCCTGTGTTCGCATGGGGCTCCAGTTTCCCCCCACAATTCATAAGTGTGCAGGGCAGGTTGATGGGTGAGTCTTAATTGTGGTTGCGTGCGTGTGCCCTGCAGTGTGTTGGCACCTGCCCAGGCTTGGTGCCCCTTGTTCATGGGATAGGCTTGGTGACCCCAGTTGGGATTAAGTGGTTATGCTGCTGGATTAGTCTCATCTAATATAAGAAGTTGCAGGCACTACAAATCTAATCTTTCAAACGTTGACATTAGAGTCTCTATGATGTGGGAATGCAGGAGTTTCATTGGGGACATTTTTATGGCTCTGCATTGTGAAGGAGTACATGGTCAGTGCCAGGCGGAAATGAATATCTTTGATTGAGCATCCATTTGGTAACTTCTGGTAATCCATTTGAAGTTATCTGATAGACAGCAATGCATGGTTTTATATACACAAAAGATATGAAAAGATATGTGTTTCATGTCTGTGCACTAAACCTATCCAAAGTTACGAGCCTGAAATTAACGGGCGGGAAAATAAAAAAAATGACGTTTGTTGGGTTCTAAGAGCTACTTTAAAGATAGGGGCTGTGTTGTCCAGGCTGGTGTTGAGACCGAAAGGCCCCTAGAGGCGACAGGAGATCAAAGAGGAGTCCTGCAGCCACCCTTCAACATTATGATGCACTGTAACTGAGGTGGGAGAGCCTGCAAAATATCTTTATTATGGGGAGGCTGCAAAACCGCCGGAGATGAGGGCGTGTGAGGAGTCGCAGTGGGGGATAATGCTTCTCATATGTTGTGAGTGACACAGTGATGACATGGAGAGAAGAGGGTGCCCCCTAGTGAACACTAACAGCATTGCCAGTGGCTTCAGCAGATATCAAGCTTCTGACCACTGATATACTTTGCAGCCTCTTCAGCATTAGAAGTTTTGTGGTGCTTCTTTAACCAGCTAGCTGCTCCAGACAGGCTGCTGTGCTCGGGTTTGAAGCTCATCCATGGAACTATGGGTCTAAACAGCTGATATTATGCAACCTTCTCCACTCACCTGTATGACCCCCATTCTGTTCCAACACCCTCCTCAGACTCATCTGCCAGCTCCTCACTATCGAAAATGACTCATATAACGGTATCAGTATACTTACAAAAAAGATAATGTCGTGTTATGTTTACAGTCAAAGTCACGTTATTTTCTTAAGGAATAATCCATACACCCTTCGATCAGCCCATCCATCCATCTCCCATAGTATTCATCCAGTGTAGGTCACAGTAAGTCTGGAGCCTAAGGAATAATTCTATTTATTTTAATAATATCTGTTTCTTGTATTAAAAAGCAAAACTGGCATATGAATTTGCATGCTTGTCTTTGCAAAGTACCTGATATCTGAGCAATATTAATGGCTGGCGCACTCTGAGGCGTTCCCAGCTGCCTCAGTGTCCAGAAGAGCCCTGATATCTGAGCTCTCTGTCTTACCTTAAATATTATTTACTTGGTTTTATATTTAGAAGGTTACCAGTTATTCAAACCACTCCTCACTGGCAGCCATCTGTGTAAATGAAGAGGATTCAAGGCTCAAGGAATGAGGGAAAGTGGTATTATGATGGAGGATCTAGACTAGATGGAGGCTGTATTGTTCCTGTTAAAAAAGGCTTTAGCTAAATCCAATGGCTAAAGCTGTACGCTGTGTACATCCAGCAGGATAATGACATGATCTAAACAAACTAAAGAGTGTGCTGCAGGGATAAACCTCTTTAGGGAAGGACAAGTACACGTTCTGTCCATCAAATGGCAAATTGTGTTTACATCTCCACTGGAGGACAGGATGGACTATGGAAGCCTCTCTACAACAAGACTTGCTGTTGATGACCCAAGACCGGTTTTTACCACACAAGAGCAGAAGGCAATGTCTAGGATTGTGGGACAAATGTGAAGTAGAGGGAGAAGCAGGGGTGGTCCACTCTGTTTTGGTAAGCGGCTGATATACGGGGGAGTTTTGAATAAAAAACATTTACTGGAACAATCACAAAGACTCGCGACTTAGTAGCAAGTCCTGTCGAAGCAGGAAACAATAGACAATGACTTACTTACAGAATACAGACCACAGAATAATTTGAGAAAGGTCTAGCAGGAATTAAGTACAGGAAGGAATTCATCCCCATCCACGGAACAGCGAGGTACAAAAGTCAGCTTCCACGAAACTCCGGGTCTGAAGTAACTCAATTTAAACATCAAGGAAAGATGTTGCGCTTCAGTTACCTTCTGTCCGTCTCCACGGCTGCAGAAAACCGGCCTGAACTTTATTACCGAATCTGTGGTCGAGGAATGAGACGACAACACCGATTGTCATTTTGAACTTCAATGTCTCTATGAATTTATGTTGTTTCTTGTTACTGTTACACACAGAGCGATGAGTCATACGAAAGAGGAATCCCTCCCAGAGCGCATTTCACCTCTGCGGTTGACGGCAGCCACCCTCTCACCTGTCTCTGGCTCCGCTTCAAACGCTAAATGCTGAACCAATTAGTAAGAAATGCAAAGCACTCTGGGAGGGGCGGATCACAGGCCCCGGCGGACTGCTCATCCCGAACGGCTGCTCCGTCAGCCGCCGTTTACTCTCAATTTGTTCTCTGCGGTTGCAAAGTGACTGTGAAATACGCTTTGATTTTGGAGATCAAAGTCCGACACTACAAACACGTTTACATACGTGAACCCATATTCCGATTCATGCTCCTCATTTAAATATCCGTGAGTGACATCTTCGTGTTGTAATTTGTCTGGCCTGTCTTCTGACTACAGTGATATGATCCGTGTTTTTTTTAAATTTGCCTATAGATACAGTGTGGTGGCCAAGGTCAAAACGATATTTAAGGCTAGTCGTCTGGACAGTACAGCTATTTAACGTTAGAACATATGCAAATGAAGTAACACTGTAAAATAAACAGGTATTTCTTCTGCTCTTCACAAAGTTACTGTTATCTTGTTGGATGACTAGATAAACATCGCTTCAGATCCCAATCCTCCCCTTCAGGGGCACCTCAGCCATTCAAAGTATTGGTTAAATTTCACCACCAGCTTAATTAATTAATTAATTAATTTACCTAATTTGTTAAATAACTCAATGAGATACTCATTAGCCAATCAAGGAGGGGTAGTATTGGGGTAGATATTGCAGTGACTTTAGAAGAGGTTTTGCAATGGCTATGCTGACAGACTTTGCCAGACAAAATATCAGTCTTACATCAACATGAAGATCAATTAAAATTATTTTCTTTGGCTGCCTAAGACATTTGCACTGTACTGTATGTCCCCACAAAGGAGACCTGCACGTGGTTACATGGGGGGGAGCGGGGGTTCTGACCTCTGCAGTGCCTCATCACCAGCTTGCACCTCCGTGACTCGGCGATTGTTGGACATGGTATCGTGTCCTTGGGCGGCTTCTTCACGATGTGCCGCGTCCTGGTCTCCAGGCCCCATTTGAAGCCGCAAGTCTTGTTCCTGCGGGCGCACGTTCCCCACTCGCTCCACTGGCCCACCTCACAGCCCTCTGGAAGGGGGGGAGGGGGGTATTAGTGTCAGTGGATTGCTGGTGGGGGGCGGGGGGGGGACAAACCTGCCAACTCCATAGCAAACTGCAGAGCAGAATTTCTTAATCCGGTCCTCTGGGAACCATAGACAGTCCCTGTTTTTGCTCGGGAGCTGGGAGGAAGCAAAAATGTGGATTGTTTGGCAGGGAGCTGGGAGGGAGCAAAAACGTGGACTGGCTGTGGGTCGCCGAGGACCGGATTGAGGAAGACTGCTGCAGAGCAATTCTAACTCCATTCATTGTATGTTATTGCACATTTGTGTCGGGGTCCGTGACATAAAAGGCATTACGGGAAACCCGGCTATTAAATCACGCAGCTGCCATCGCCGTTCCGGCTTCCGCAGGGAAACCACTCCATCATCACCACTTCATTCCTCAAACGTCATGACAGGAGCAAGCATACGGGTTACAGGACGGCCGCTTCGGGTCACAACGGAAGCACCGCCTACCTCCACATTCCATCCTGTCCTCCAGGGGCGCGAATCCTTCTGGACAGGCCTCGAGACAGCGGCCCTTGTGCAAGTAAAATCCGGATTTGCACTTGGTGCAGAAGTCTTTGCTGAAACAGGACTCACAGTTCTCGATCCTGCATCCTGCCAAGGAGAGGAGGAAACGCCTGTCAGGTCATACAGCCATCGCATCTGGAGCTGATACACAGCAGCCTTGAAAAGATTACCGCCGAAACTAGATGCCCGTCCGTAACATTTCTCTCCAGGGCAATACAATATTTCACCACACTCTTTTTTTTTTGCTCCCCCGACCGACATTTTGTCTTAATGTGAAGGGAATGCTTTAGGGAATGGGAAACTGCAGCGAATGACAACAGTCTGATCCATAACGGATTACCTCATGTTGACCCCTTTCAGCACCACAAGGGAAGCCACTCAAAGGTTTTGTCTGTCCAAACGGGATGGCAGCTGGGGACCAAAGCGGCACCCCTTTCATTTTGGGGTAAATGAAAAAAAAAAAAGTTTCCCAAATGTTTACAAACAAACCTAAAGCAAGAGATTATCTCTGTACTGACGTTTGTGGCACAAAGCGGCAGCGCGGTATGTCTGGGTGCTGGGGAGGGTTCTTCCAGAATGTTCTGGTGCACTCGTGAGGGGCCACACCTTAGCTACCATGAATGGCTCAGCCCAGGGCATCTGAGCTACATGCAGGGGGGGGGGGGGGGACGACTGTTCTGCAAATAGCATGTGAGAACGGGGAAAATTACACACGCCCCAACACAGCAGGCCGCTGGGTCATAATTAGAAAGCGGCTCCAGGAGAGGTCTAATTTATGACCCCCCCCCCCAGAGGGTCCAAATCAGCAGGCCGTCTGGCTTCAGCATTATGACCGACTATCGTACTGGATATCCGCTAGGCTGCCGGTAGCTTCTGGGGTCTATCCCGCAGAAGGACACCCAGGTATGAGAGAACTCTCAGGAGGGATCCACTGCCGTCCGGCGTGTTTGTGTGTGCGTGGGGGGAGGGGGGGTGTTGCTTTCAGGCCCTGAGACGGTTCCCGCCGTCACGCCTCTTAATTACAGCATCCCCAGTGAACTGGCCTTCCCCCGCATTCCTCAGGGTGATCCCCCCCACCCCCCCCGGCTGTGAAGAGCCCGTCCACAGCTACTGCTCTCCCTACCAGTCTAAACAAACCCACAACCCGGTCGCATTATCATCCGATTCAAACAGCCCTGCCTACGCCACATCAAACGTGTCGCCTGATGCCTGTTGTTGACTCCTCCTGCTGCTCCCGGCGACGTGGTGAAGTCCAGACCTGTAATGAAGAGGACGGTTTGTTGCCACATCGATGGCTTTCAGCTGGGTCACACGCCAACTCGCAGAACACAGTTAATTCCCACCGTTGTTCAACAGCTAGACCCTCTTTCTCCCTATATTTTGGCCCACGGTGCCGATTACCCATCCAGCAGGTTTTAACACCCTACCGCCCTTGGCCAATGGGAGTTTGGGGTGTCACATGGCACCCAACCACACCCGACCCAGGGCCCAAAGTTCCGGGAGAGGCTGCCCCCTGCTGGCGGCTGTAGGTGGGTTCAGCCGTGCTGTGGGACACGAAGACGAGTCGTGGCAGTGGGCATGCTTAAGGAGTCGGGTTTGCCAGCGGTGGCACGTATAGGTGATTTTATACTGATGGGTTTTGGTTCAGGGAACAGCACTGGTCCACTGCGGAGTGGAGGAGATATACAGGCGTACAGCACCTTAACAAAGCACACAAGTACTGAACACACAGCAAGACGACAGCATACATGTGAGGCGTGTGGGAGTGAACACTCAGCAGAGTAAGCGGAAGGTGGAAGGCGGAAGGCATGAGAAACACGTGGGCACATGTGCGTGCCCTACCTTACCAGCGCCTCTGTGAGTCCTGCGTGCCGGGCGGAGGCGCTGAAATCGCAACACGGCGTACAGTCGGTTTCCGCCTTTGGGGGTCCAAGTGGCCAAGCAAAATCGACGGATTCATTTAAATTCCAGGATTTTCACAAAAACTTGTGCGAAAAAGGCAGACGGCACACGATTTCAGGTGTAATGGAGACACTCTGGGTTCACGTCTGACTCACCAAATTGGACCCCCCCCATACGGAAAAGCAGGGGGCTGGGAAGTGAGACGGTGGCCAGCAGGCAAGGAAACTGGGCAGGTGACCAGAAGCCCCCGCTGTTTAACTGACCGACCCCCCCCCACTGGGCACGCATCTCAGACTGATATTTTTGCTGAGACATTCGCTGCAAATGAAGTGTTAAACTCTAAACTGCACCAGGCCTTGGGTAACAAAGGAAAGCGTTAGGCTCCGGAGAGGTGCGGAAACCAGAGCAGTCGCGTGACAGGGGAGCCGATTTAGGGCTGGTCTGCTCTGCCAGAAAGCCGATTAAACGAACGGCGGGAATTCACAGCAAGGCATTCATTTTACCCTGCTATACCTGTAGCCTTCCCGGTGATTCCCAGGTCAGCGGATCCCACAAACGCATCTTTTGTTTAAGTAAAGACGAGTCTCGCTGTGGTGTTCTGGGTAGGACTGGGTGGGGGGGGGGAGCAGTGCCAGCCCGGTGAGTCATAAATCAGGCAGCTAATTGGAGAGCCCCCCCTTGTTCCTGCCGATGGCCAGGTCACGCAGGTCTGTCGTCACCCTCGGCGCGTTTTGGATGCGGCGGGCAGCAACATCTGGCGGTGACGGCGAGTGTCAGCTTGTCGTGCTCGTGAGGGAGGGGGGGAGCGGGGGGGGGGGCTCCTTCCACATTCAGCTGTGCATTGCACGCAGAGGAGGTTAGGGCGGCCTGTTCGCCCCCATCAGCGAAGAGCGCTGCCATTCTGTTGTAGCTCACTATTAGTCAGATGCAGGGCTGAGGGTCTGACCTTCAGAGCAGTGAGAACCGGGGGCAGGGGACACGCTTTGGCTCTGAGTGCGTGCTGCTGGGAGGCCCGTCTGTTGTACCCTGAGAGGAATAAGCAGCCTGAATGACCCTGGTATAAATCTCCAGCCAAGTTACTGCATAAAATGCAGTTTACAAGCTTCAGCGAATAAACAAAATTACAAGAAAAATCAATATTAACGTACAGTCATCCCTCCATCTTCCAGGACCTGATCTAGGCCGTGTGGCATAGTACCCTGGATGGGATGCACGTACATTTCACACACTATGGGCAATTCCAAAACGCCAGGTCACTGAACCTCATGGGTTACACCTGATTTTCTGTTTGCACACCAGCATGCTCATCGGACTTTAGCCGGTACCCTGTCCTGGGAAAGAAACTGCCCCCTTCTGGTCACATGATCAGCCCACAGCCCCCTGCCCACGAAATGGGTGAAATCTCACATAAATTGATGACGGTTAGCGATTCCTACAGGATTAACCTCCACGCCACCTTTAAAGTCCCGTCTAGGCGCTTCTATGCGACTAATGAGGAGTAATGAGGTCACAGGGTCTGGCCGCTCACCGCAGAATCCGAGAGGAACGCAGAGAAGTGCTTAACAGTCCCAAGTGCATCATCTCTCCCTTATCGTGATGCGTATGAAGGCTCATGGGAAGTGCCCCGTCGCCATGGCGTTCACGTTCATCACCACGGTTACGCACGGTTTTCCGGTCAGAGGGCCGTGTAAGATGAGTCTCACTGCTCATATCACACTGGCCCCTGTGCTGTCGTTTGTTTGAACAAAGGAATATTAGGAAAGAAGCTAGCAAGGGAAAATAAAACATCGTGGACTCAGGCGGCAAAAGCCGTGGCCGGGATCGAGCATCAGCGCGGCTGGGATCGGCGAGCGCCTGGACTGCTTGGCCTGCAGAGAAGGGGCTGCCTTTAATCGGACGACCACCTGGTCCAACCCAAGAGAGGCCATGCTGTTTTTGTAAACGCAGGCTTTGCATTATGTTTACATTCCAGTCACCGGGGCGACGCTTTCATCCAGGCGAGCGTGTGAGGTCACCGTGGCAACGCCGCGGGATGCTCGGCACTGAAAACCAACATACACACCGTCATGTTCAGGTGCTTGAATGACGCATGACCTACACACCAGAGAGGTGCCACGTTCCCCGTGACCCTGGGGGGGGTTTCACGCATGGCTGATATTACGGCCTGGAGGGGGGTCACTTCTTCAACGCTCAGTGGTTTTAACTTCAGTTCAAATAATCCATCAAGGAATCTGAATGGAGTCACGTGAAAAGATACTGAGGAAACGGTGTATCTGGCCTTTCCAAATAAAACAGCGAGTTTCCTGAAATAAACGCATTCCGGCTCTATGCGCACCCAGAGTCCGGGGTGCAGGAGCCGGCTGCATTTTGCCGCGCCCCTGTGCGGAACTGCCAGGCTGTGTGGCAGGACTCCACAGCGGATCTGGGGGGGTTCTGGGACGGCCCTCGTACTCGGGGCACGGGGAGGCTGGCTGGCCGGCTCTCAGCTCCCTGCTTCCTCATTAAAACACCGGCGAGGGGCAAGAGCAACGAGAGAGGTGTTGGGTAACAGCCCATACCACAAGGAAGGCAATAAAAGTGGGGAATAAACCCCCCCACCCCCCAGAAATCTGTCTCAGGTGGCGCACTGGCACGGAACATGCTTCGATACCAGGATACCAGCGCACCCAGGCTGTGCCAGACAGCATTTCCGCCCTGGCGCGGTGAACGCCAAGAGGGTCTGGCTTTTCATCGGGAATCTCGGGGCGGCCCGACCGGAGGGGACGCGGGGGCGGAGTCTGGGGTGGCACAGGGAGTCGTCTGGGGACAGCTGCCCCCCCCCCCCCCGCCCCCGCGTCAGCCTGTCACACATGGAGACCAAGACATGCGGGGGAGGGGCGGAAGGAGCCACGACGGCGGCGGCGGCGAATGGGGGGCCGTGTCCCCGGAAGGAGCTGCGGCCTCCGAGTGGCCAAGGGTTCGAGTCTCAGGATTGACCCTGCTGCCTTACCCTTCGATGGGACTACGTGTTCAAGACACAAGCTGTGCTCATTATGGTTACAATATGAACTGTTTGTTCGGCCAAGGCACTTAAAGGGACAGGCGAAAGTAGCAGGCCAAGCCAATGTTATGTGTTATTATCTAACACCAGATCTTTCTCACTAAAATATATTTTCTAAACAATAATAATGTCAAACTTCCCATATTTGATTTTCATTTTATATTATGTTGTGTGTTTCCACAGATGTTGAACATCTTGTCAAATGGTAAGCCCTGTCACTGCCTTGTACAGTCAGTGTTAAGATCACCTCGGATTGGATCGTCTATTCGCCTGGAGGGTTCTGGCCGGTGGAGGTGCGGATGATCCAGACCTGAAAAAGTCTGCCGGGTCCCGCAGCTGCCGTCGGAAACCGCGGTGGGGAGTGAGCCGGGGACACGTGAGGAGTGAGATTAGAGCCTGCGTGCTGAAGTATGCTTTGAACAGCGGAGGAAGCCACGGGGGAGAGAGCGGTGGGTTCCTATTGGAGGGCGCTGAGTAGTCCGGGTCGGATCCAGCCAATGGCGGCCTTCCACCGAGGGACCAAACCCGTCTGGTCGGCTTCAGTTCTGTGGCAGTTGGCAGCCGCCTCGTCGCGCTCTGCCTTGGCTCCACCCCCCAGGATGGGAGACACATGGCCCCTGAAGTTCGATTGGAGCTCAGCCAGGCGCAGAAAGGGTGGAGGGGAGCAAGCAGCCGAGCTCTGCTCCTGCTTCCAGCCTCACCCACACCTCACTGCCTCTCCCAGAAAGCTGGGCAACAGGGGGCGTGATGGTTAAGAGTGAGTCCCCGTGCCCTGCCGTTGAACTGCTGCCTCACGCACTTAACCTGAGATGATTCCGTTTAATTTAATAAGCACACAGCAAGATCGCAGTCCTTAGGCCCTGCAGACCCGACGGCCCAACGGCCCACCTCCCAGCTAGCTGTCAGGTCACATGACCCTCTCCTGGACACCCCCACCGCAGGACTGGAAGCTGTTCATGCGTGGCACCCCCGCATCTGAGTGTGATTAAGCCGAGGTCTGGTGGGCGACAACCCCCCCGATCCCAAATCAATGTCAGCGCCCTCGTGCTTCCCCCCAGTTCCTATCTCTTCCTCGGGAACTTATTGTTGGGAAATGCTGCACCGTTACGGTAAACACGGGAAAAAAACATCCGTTAAAAAAAGAAAATCGCACCATGAGAAGGTAAAAGCTGGTGAGAAAGTCGCCGATTTATTTTCACATGGTTCACATTTTTCGCCCCCCCCCCATTTAGACCTGAGGCTGCTTATTTATCCCGCAGAAGCAGCACCTTCCGCTTAATCCCGTGAGTGACTTGTGCAGTCCCAACCCCCCCACCTCGACCCGACTCTCTGCTTGTTCCCATGAATGGCGCACTTTGTCCTGCCCGTGCGGACATGCCACTTCTGAGCCGCTCTCAGCTGTGATGGAGCGACCCGGGACAGTAATGTGTCAGGCAGCGTTGCCCGTCACTCCAGCAGGATGGAGCAGTGACCCCATGACAGCTCCGCCCCACTCGTGCCCGCAAGACACGCTTCGAAACGATAAGATCTCGTCCCTAATAGCAAACAGCTGCTCCCTGAGTAGTTTCAGAAGGTGTTTCTCAAGCCAACGGTAACGGGGTTTGGAGGCCGTACGCCCCCCCCCCCCCAACAGACCCCCAACCTCCTCCAGTTACAAGAAGGGGGGGGTGAGGCGAGAATGAATGCTCACCATCCACCCATAGAAGTTTAACTGAGAAAGGCAGCTTTTCTACCGAGGGCGGCTCCTGACGTACGGGAAGAGCACGTGTGACGGGGATGCACGAGCAAACGGGCTGAGGAGATCCGATCTTAGGTACGAAAGCATTTTGGAAGGTTCTCCTGGACAGTGAATAACTTCCCGTTTTTCAGTTCAGTTAGTTGGCAAAAATAAAAAACAGCAGAAAAAAAATTAAACATCAGTGCACGTAAAGCAGCTCTTTCCTGTTCTCACTTAAGGGGGACTGGGCAAGTGGTGCGACTTTTCTCTGTTAGTTTACTATGGGAACCTAAGTGAACTAAGCCAGCTGGTTCCGATAGTTACGCGGGCTGACACACTTCTGTAGTCCCTGACTCACAAGAGCGGCGGATGAATATGGACTGAGGTTTTGCAGATCTCTGGTGAACACTCTTTTTTCTCGGGTGCCTGGAGCCCGTCTGGGCCATTGACCCGAGCCTCAAGAGTATTCATGTGGGTGGGGGGGGGTGCAGTGTGGCGACCGTGTGTCAACAGTGTCTGTCAAGAGCTGGCTCTCGCATGGGGGATGAGGCTCCGTTTCCGCGCCTTACACACGGCCTGCACCTCAGGCTTTCTGTGAAGCTTTACAACGCGCCATGTCAAGGGCATGCAGTGCGTGTGCAGCCGTTTACAGCCACCTAATTGAATAACATTAATCTTTAAGGAATAAACACATACATGGTTGTTAAAAGTCTCTAAATAAAATAGTTTGCTGCTGTATGTCATTGCAAGTGTTCAGTCATAATGTGACGCGTTTTCTTTCACGGTCAGCAGTTCCTAACTGCTTCCTCACATTCAGCACTGACGTAGCACTGGAAAACGGGTACCTCACACTTATTAACTGCTACCTCACATTCAGCACTGACTTAGCACTGGAAAACGGGTACCTCACACTTATTAACTGCTACCTCACATTCAGCACTGACTTAGCACTGGAAAACGGGTACCTCACACTTCATCCCTCCTAACATGGGCTAACCTCTGCCTCGCAATTAGCTCTGGCTAACCACTGCTTCACACTTAGCATTGACTGCATCTAACTGCCTCACAATTAGTTTTGGTTAACTGCTGTTACACATTGGATAAATGCTCTATCATACTTAGCGTTGGCTAAACTACGCCTTACGCTAATGAATGCAATTCGATGAAACATATTTCACTGAAACGGAAGACTGCAAATATGTGAAATGGGTTTTGACTTCCAGTGAACTCAGTACGACGGCAGCATTCAAATTAGATCAAAGTTTAGCTCGACTCGGACGTCTTGAATCTATTATACTCTACTTAGGTCTTTGATTTGTTTAATCTGAGGAACTCATAACACCAGTTTCAGGGCTTTTGCAGGTTGTCGCGGGCACCTCATCCAGCTGAACCGGCGAAAACCGAGACAAGGAATTTGCTCGCAAACATATTCGGTGGCTGTACCCCTGCCCCCCCCCCCCATCCCAACATTCCCTGCAGGCACGGATGTGCACATGCAGTCCATAATAAAGGACAGCGGGTGGCACAGTAGTTACGAACCTGCAACGAGATGACACACAGCCCAAGCCAAGTTGGGAACCCTGGTAAAACTCCCAAATAAACTGGTAAACGCTGAGCGGAACAGCACATGCAGAGCAGGACCTACTGGAGCAGATGTTGAAGTCGGGGGCCCGCAGGCCGTAGTAGCCAGCTGGGCAGGCATGAAGACACTCCCCGTACTGCCTCATGCCCTCTCTCCGCAGGAAGAGGAACAGCTTGGGTTGACAGGTGAGGCAGCCATTGTCCTTGGAGCAGACGGAGCAGCCTTTGCAGATGGGGTACGCGCCATAGCTAGCTGGAAAGAAAAAGTGGGGACAAATCATGATACATCATTCTCCCTCTGATTTCCGAGCAGTGTTAGCAGTTAGCATTAAGCATACATGCTCTAACGAAAGACGGCGGACGACAGGACCGAACATGACCCCCCTAATAACGCCTCTCTCATCATATGCTATGTCACATGGTGCAGCAGAGCTCTCTGCCAGCTGGACAAACACCCCAGTTGAGGATCCCCTGGCTGATGAATCCCTCCCTCTGCAGAACAGGTACAATTTCTGTTTTGCTACCAGGGGGGATCAAAATTCGTCAGGAAATGGGAGCCAAACTATGATCTGATGCATAACTTAGCATGTTCTTAGCTGAGCACAATTTAGCATCTCCTCAGGAAGAGAGTCTTAGCCAAATGAACCACTCAGGAGGCCTAAAGACCACATCAAGACAAAATATCTAAACAATACTAAATAGGAACTAACCTAAAATCTAGTTCAAGTCCAGCTTGATCATTCCCTGCAGCCACAACCAAAAAGAGTTATATTGTTTGCCAAAATTGTTTATTATTTTGATAGAGTGCCTCTTTTATCATATCAAGACACTACAGAACAGAGAAAAATACTTTCAGACTAGAAACACGTCCCGACCTCACGTCCAGCTGCTGCTGAATGTCTATTTATGTTCGACTCTGACGGCTAGATCTGCTGATGCTGTTGGCCGTCCGCACAATGCGAGGGCTCATTCCCACTGCAGATATGTTTACTTAGCGCCATAATAATGCTAACAGGGGCAAATTCAAGACAGCCAGACAATTCAACACAAAACAGCCCCGGATAAACCTTCCGAAAAAATAAAAACCAAAAACAGTTACAGATGGATCAGAGAATTATGCAGGTTTCGCTAATTTACGAAGGCCAAGGAGACAAAGTCGGGTCACCCATATATTTCAATAAATTTCCTTTTTAATACGAATACCTCATTCCTTGCCATTCTTTATGCAACTCAGTTGGTTATTCTTGGTTGTTGTTTTGAGACAGTCGACAAAAAAATTTAAAACCACAGTGATCTAACGGCGAATTGTTTTGGGCTGGAACCAGTAACAGACCGGTTCACATGCCTTCATTTTTACAGAAAATTTGTTCGGGTGACTGGGGAACAAAAAAAAATGGCTATTGACTGGAGCCAAGTTTTAAATATCAAGAGTAGAGATAAAATAACAGCACTCACAAGACGACCTACCACAATGCTTAATAAAATAGCTCAGTAGGAACTCAGGCGGAGAGTGAACTTGCTCTTCACCGCGGTTAGACGTATCGAGTTTCTCTAATCATTTCGTAATTATGACTGCGGGTGACGCGATCTTAAAGCACCATGAAAGAATTATGCGAGTTACGTAATAATGTCACGATTAACTGTATTTACGCAGAGTAAAAGGGAACAGGTCAATTTAAAAAAAAGCCCGATAGCGCGAGCTGATATCGCACACAGGCAGTACTGCTTAACGGTGTGACCTCGATTAACTGTGCCAAACAAACTTCAGTCACTTAGACAAGGACCACCGTGAACAAGTCCACATGTGTGGGACAAATACCTCAGGCTGTCTTATAGCTGGTGAGCCCCCCCATCCCCAGTGAGGAGTTCTGACTGGGAATCTGTTCACCAGAGAGGCCCCAGTCTTACGGCTTCCTGTACATTGCCACCCTGATCTGCACGCTTAATTACTTTATTTTGGTAATTATTTAGGCACTAATTAAAACTGCCGTGGGATCACGGAACTCCAAGGCCTCGGTCCTCGGCCCGCTTTTCCACCCCGCCTTTCCGGCCCGCCTTTCCGTGTGGCGCCGTGGCTTCCTGGTCGGAGTCCCGGCACCCGCCCAGCGCTCTCTGTACCTGCTTCTCAGCTGCGGGGAGTCTCTGCTTTTTTCCGATAACACAGACTGGCCGCCACGTGCCGGCTGCTTAGCTGACACCGCCAGCATGGCCCCTGGCACCCAGGTTTGAGGCCCCCGGTGCCCAGGTTTGTGGCCCCCGGCACCCAGGTTTGTGGCCCTTGGCACCCAGGTTTGTGGCCCTTGGCACCCTGGTTTGTGCCCTCCCTCGCTGGGAGTTTCCACTGCTTGTCAGCGTTAAAGCCGACACAGGCCGAGTCAGCTGCTCTGCCTTTGATCTGAAACATCAGGTGACTGGAGTACTACTCACAGTGGTCTTATATTGCACTGCAATGGGGCTTCAATAATAATCCTCTTTGTTGTGTGTTAAGGAAATGACGAGTCTGATGCAGGCTTTGTTTACAGTAAGCTGACACTGAAGACACACCGTCGAGCTCCGTCCCGCCTCTGCACCACCGTCTTTAAACACCGTTAAAGAAAAATGGCAGCTGTTTCGGTGCAAAAAATATCTAGAAATAATGAAAAAAAAAATGTTTATTTTTTTTTATTGGGCTTTTAATGGAGGTTTGTTTTTCGTCTACAGAACATGCCGTAAAACATATTTGGTGGCTGTATTTTACTGTTTCTGTTCTCGTTTCACGCAGGATTTCCAAACACTGGCAGGGACTGCTGAAAGTGGGGATGTGTTGAAGGCGTGTAACACCGTAGCGTTCGGGGAGGGGCAGGAAGCAGACCGCGGGGTGTTGCGTGAGAGCAGTGGAGCGACACGGTTGGGGTGGGGTGAGGGGGGCAGACTTTGAAACTCCTGTGTGTGTCACCCAATGGCTGCTGAGAGACAGAGATGGCGGGTAATTGTCTGTCTGTCATTGGTTCCCAGGGTTTGTCCCCAGCCCCAACTGACTGGAAAGGACTTTTTGATGACAGAGCTGTTAATTCACTATATGTACACAGCGCTGACCTAGTGGGGGACCACTGCATGCCATCTCGTCCTGCATGCACTGGAGCTCAGCATGTTTACAGAATAACCACAATGCTGAGCAGTTTATGCTAACAGGCGGGGGGGGCGGGTCCTCTGACGAACAGAAAGCCAAGAAACATCACAGAGGCATCTCCGTCCAAACCACGCAGTTCAACAGCCAAACATCCGTGAACGCTGTCCCTTTAAGCAATCACCAATAAAACAAGTGGGCCTTTATCCTGTCATCCAATCTGATTGGTCCGAGCGTGGGTGTCCCACATTTCAACAACGCTCCCCAGTGGACGGCTCACTCATGTGGTCGATCGTCGGGAGTCTCCGCCATTCACGGGCCACAATGGTGTTTCCGGCACACTCTGGCCGATGCAAAATGCGGCCCACCCACAAGACCCCCCCCCCCCCCGCTAACGTGACAAGGCCTAGAGACCAGGATGCAGGACTGGGGGGTCCATCCGCCTTTAACTGTTTCAGATCAAGCTTAGCTGGAGAGTGTCGCTGTCAGACTGAATTGCCTTTAAACTGTGCAGCCGCTCTCGTCTGCTGACTGCCCTCGTAAAGGACGTTAGCTGGGGTTAATGTCGTGGCACACGGGGATGGTGCATCTGGCTTCGCGGGAAGTGTGCTCCTTTTCACTATTTGCGTCTGCCGTGGGGGGCGGCACGTCCTAGAATTAAATCTGCAAAAATGAGGGGAAACACGAGATCATAAGGAAACCGTTATTTGGGATTTTTTTTCTTCGTCTGGGTCAGGCCTGGAGAAGGAATTCCCAAGGAAAAGCCCAGGAACGTGACAAAGACGCCATTGAGTCACGAATCGGTCACCGGCAGGTGCCTGAACCGATGGAAACGAAATATATGCCGTCCACAGGAATGTGCCGCCTGAAAGACAGGAGGAAAACCACGACTTTGCCAGCCGAAGCCACACGGTCCAGCTGCATGCGGAACGCATGTCACGCTACAGCCCCAAGGAGAAGCTATGATGGTCACGCGAGAACAAGGGCAGCAGGGAGCTGGATCACTGCACACAGACCCAATGTGGCCCCAGAAAGTTTTCCACCAGATTTTGCTCAGAAGCGCCGTTGTGTTGGGATTAATATATTGAGAAGATCTGCTATAGAAGATACTGATATGATGCTATGGTGTTCATCATGCCCAGACAAACACAGAGATTTACACAGGTCCACTCCCAGGTTTTACATATTTGCCACGATGACGAGGCCGTGATAATGACGCTCATGGGAGATTTTCTGAGGGCAGAACAACAAAAGAAAGATCCAGATAGATAACCAATCAGATTGTAGAGGAGGTGGGACCCGTGTCTTAGCTTACAATCGAGATCCGAGCCCAATGCTGACGTGAAGACCCACAAACGTAGGGCGATGGCTCAGGAAGTAGACTCCAGAGCCAAGGTCTGCAGGTTCATGCGCATTGATGGGCTCTGCTGTGGTGCCCTACAGCGAAGTCCTGGAAAGCCCTGGTACAGCCTGTCTGATTGCGTGGGCGACATAATTCGCTTTATAGCAGGAACCGTGAGCTTCTGCGGGTCCCTGTGTTTAGTGGCCCGGAAAAAACTTCTACTTAGAAGAGTGAAGGCAAAAGTTATGGGGAAAATCCAGCCTCCGCTTAGCCAAACAGTTTTATTTGACACTCTCCTGTAAGATGGAGACGGGTGAGAAACACGCATCGAAAGTTCTGAACATTTGTGCTTCTGAGATCTCACAGCTGGAAATGATCAGAATTAGGACATATGTATTCTTTTCGGTTTATGTTTACAAACCCTACCGTATACACGTGTTTATACTTTAAGATAATCCCACTGCCTTTTAATGACTTTTGCAGCATCTGTATGTACAAGCATATTTATTTGCGAATGCAGTAAGCATGCCAGGCCCAATCCTACTGCAAAGACAGATGTTGGGCACTGATATCTTCATTCATGTTCTTTAAAAGGGCCAGTAAAATCCGAGGGGGAAAAGCCGGCTTTGTTGTGTTCGACTTCTGTTAGACTTAAGAAAGGAAGTGATGGTTTTCCTAAAGAAGCAAGGAATTGTGGCGGTGGGAGGGAAGGAGACACGGTCAGCGGCCGTGGGGAGCTGGAGGAAAATATTTGCAAAGCCTGTGCATTTCACATGGGCGCGCTTGACAGTCGTGTCCAGCGGGA